CGGTGTACAATTTCTCTGCCATATATTTGATGCACAGTTTCATCCAAAGTCAAAGAACCTTTCGAGCCTAGCATGCAACAGGCGTAGTTAGTGTCGTCGGTGAAACAGATATGTGTGAAATGGATCTCAGTGGCATGCTGCTGCTAGAATCTATGTGTGAAGACTAGATTTCTATTTGCATGTGACTGCATGTCATTTGAATATGCTTGATACATTCAGTTGCAAAAATGGAGGTTTTTTTTTCCTGCGGTGGGCTTTTGCACTCCCTCCCCTGGTTGAAATGGGGGACTTTGCTCACGCCGTGCCTCACATCCCTGTCTGCACCATCGCCGGTGGACTGCCTTGATCCCCAGAGACAGGTGCTGGCTGCCATCCGGGGCCATGAGCCGGGGAGGTCCATATTTTACTGTCTGGACGGACAACAGAGGACGACATGGCAGACAACGCTGTGGATCAGATCAAGGTACAACAGTAAGGGTTAAAGCTAAGGTGGGCTGTGGTGGAAACAGAAGTCAAGGAAGCCCACGGGAGGAAACGGGGTGTGTGAGCCCGGCACAGGAAGGCAAGGAAACGGAGAAGGTTCAGCCCTGAGTCCCGAATCCGAGAGGTCAAGACAGAAGAGTCTCGTACAAGTAGGGACACTAGCTTCTATTTTGTAAAAACCGCTTTGAAACACCGCTGTATGAAGTCGGATGCGCCACACTTGCTTTAACGGCTGTCTACAATGTCAGTGCTCCAGAGGTTGGCAGAGAGGCTGTTCCAGCGAGCCGGTCCCTGTCTCGGAGACTCTAGCCACGGGGAGGGCGGCTACTACCAGTCCCCGGAGGAGTCAGAGGCCTCTTGCTGGAGTGAGTGACTGACCTGAGGCTTTATGCTAGTTAAGGCGGCTGGCACAGTGAGGGTTTAGATATAGCTGTGGAAGGTGGGGCTTGGCAAAGGGGCGGAGAAACCTGCATGTCTAAAGGTCTTAACTCGCCGTCTGAAGTGCCGGCCTGACTGTCTGTGTGTGTGTAAGATTAACTGATAATCATTTTAAATATTTCGCCTTTGATTATGGGTAGTGATATTAGACTGGGGTATCAACCTGGCTATTTGACTATTTGAAGTCTAATTGAGGATAAATGGTTTCTTTTTACATTTAAGTAAGTGCTGTTTAAAACAATTTCTTTCATAACCATTATATAATGTTATTGTTCTGATTACCCTTATCTCTGGATGTTAATATTACGCTTTGAAAACCCATATTGACTGACTAATAAACATAGATGTTTTTCATAATGGGATGTTGTAAACTTAAGTCATGGGTGATATGGAGATTGAGTTTAAATAAGCACCTCTCTGGATTGATGTGGGACTGCCGACACAGATATTCTGGGTACAAAGCCTTTTTTAATTCATCTCCTAATGTTTGTGCTGTTGCCTGGCGTTGGCTGCGTCATGCCGGAGTTCCAGGGAAGCTTGGTGTTTGTCTCCTGGAAACCTGTTAGTGAATCCCGTTTTTTTGGGCTCCCAGTGTTCTGCTGTTCGTTCCTGCCAGTCTGAATTATGAACTAATGCTTTATCCATTCATGCAATGCTTACAGGGGTGTAATGGTTCTTGGTTAAAAATCGAATCTTTGTTGAACTTTTTCCTTTAGGAGTGCTGTATGCTCTAATATGATTATGACCAGTCATTTACGCCGTCAGGTGAGCGAGCGCAGGTGAGACCTGAACAGCACATGTTGCTATCTGTGTTTAAACTAAACTCATTTAGAGGAGCATTTCACCCATTGCAACATTAATCTTTTTTGAAAGTGGATCATATATGTATTTGAAATGTAAAATAATTTTTTAATTTGGTGCCCTCTTGACCGAGAAAAGACAGAAAATAACCAAGGGGTGCATTTGTTCGAAGAACTACAAGTCCCACAATGCACCGCATTGCACAGCTCCGCAAGCCACACCCACTAATCCGGAACAGCGCAAACAGAGAAATCACTCTTCTGTCTACAAGGCTAACATTAACTGTCACCAGAGTTCATTTAAAAATCATTTCACAAAAATTGTCTAGTTAGTTGGCTGTGGCGAGCAGGACGATCGATCGACGGCCAGGGATGTAATAAGGGAATAAACCATGACCATTCAAAAATATGACTGGGTTTCTAAAGATACAAAGCTTAATGCAAATGGGTGAAGTGTCCCTTTAAGCCTTGCCAATTTAAACATTCAAGCGCAAGAAGACACGACGGAGAGCTCGCACGTCCCTCATCTAAAGGGCGCACACGGAGAGAGACGCATCTCAGATATTGAGTTCTTTTAAGTCTTGTGCTTGAATGGACAAATAAATTGTGAACATGATGTCAACATGCCCGTTTTATCGAGTATCCTAGCAAACATAGTAGGTTATGTCTTGAGTGTATGGAAACCGTTGAGAAAAACAACGCGTGTGTATCAGCGTACTGGATCCGTGCATTATTATTAAAGTGACAGCAGCCTACTATTCCTGCTGACTGGGCTTTTGGATGTTAATCAATAGGGGTGCACGATTCAGAAAATGTCACGATTCGATACCGATTTTTTTTGTCTCGAGATTCGATTCAAAATCGATTTTCGATTCAAAAACGATTCTCGATTCAAAAAACGATTCGCAGGTCTACATAAATGTAGTTTACTTTTTCCTATGTGATTGATTGCAGTAGACATAATTTAAAAGAAAAGTTTGATATTACTTTATATGTCTTCATACAAAAATAAAAAACTTTTGCAACTAAAAAGTGCGAAGTGCCAAGCTTTGGCCAGCTTTTAAATACATTTAATTCAAGTTTAAAATAAAACTTAAATAAAAAGCTTTTACATTTAGCTTTAAAGTGCTGTAGTCAGATCAAACAAACAATTATGCTAAATGTGGTTTAAGGAGTAGGCCTACTTCAGCTACCAGGTTGACTGTTGAAATGTGAACTCGACTGGGCACATTGAACTTCCTAAAAATATATACTAATTTCATAGAACCCTTGCGAAAATATTTTAAATAGATTTAAAAAAAGCCACCGTTACTGGTAACATCTATGGTTAGATTGATTTGTTTAGATCCAGTGAAGTCGTTCATAGGCGCGTAATTGCGGGTATCTCCAGTTAACTAGCAGAGCATTCATTTAGGTCGCTATTAAATAAGAGACCTGTTGTTTTTGAAATCAAGCTGAGCGCTCGTGTCCGCTGCGATCAGTGTCATGGATATACAGTGTTCTCTGTGGCTCGCGCAGTCTTCTCTCGGATGCGCGCTTCAATCTATCGCCGTTGTGGAGACTCCGGTGAAATCTCAAAATAAAATGCACACAAACGTGATGAACATATTCGGTTTTGATGAGAGAGAGAAAAACTATACGAGTGCGGTTTAGAACCCGTAACCTCTGACACGCTTGGCAAAAGATCTACAGAACTCAAACATAAGATCTGCGGATCGATGCATTTGTTTACGGGTTGAGCAGAGTGGCTGCACAGTTTGACCAGCGGGCGGCAAGAACTTGCAATGACTATTTATCAGACCGGCCCTCGCAGCCTCGAAACCATAGAAACACTACCGGACCACCGGTAAAAGTCCCGACTTGCCCGATTGCCACTCCGCCCCTGCACGCCATTAAAAAATATAGCCTATGAATCGATTTTTGGAATTCTATGAATCGATTCTGAATCGGTAAAGATTGAATCGCGATTCAAATATGAATCAATTTTTTTGCACACCCCTATTAATCAAATAACAAAAGATAAGTAAATCCCTCTCTGCTTTTGACTGAAAAGCTTTTGTAACTTTAATAACGATGAATCTTTATTTAATTTTATACAGTGAAAATTATATGAGTGTTAGGCCCTGATCAGACAGAATGCGTTTTTTTTAAATGAGAGGTGCCTAATTTAATTGTTTTTTATTGGCAGTGAGCGTTTTGCGCGCTGTTTCTGCACCCTGGCCACCTCGCGTTTTAGCCACCTGTTGCGCCTCGCGTTTTTGTAGGAGTGCCTGAAGTTGAAAAAAAAATCAACTCTGAGCAGAAAAGCGCTCGACGTAATTTGTGGGGAATTTTTTTTCCCATTGTCCAATCAAATGAATGGAGAGGCGGGCCTTCCATTGTGGTGACGGAAGTTTACAGTTTATTTGTTTGTACACACCTCACCCTTGATCAAGGTCAGAGCAAGCACTCTGGTTTTCCATTTTTTTAGGTTTCTGCTAATATGACCGTTTACTTAACAGCAAACAAAAGATTCTGGAGCGCTCGTGCTATAATCCTTGATTAGACTGACAGGGCAGCTGATTCGGTGGTTGCCTAGCAACATACAAAAAATGCAGCGCACTGCTCTTTTCTAAATTAAAAAAAGTCAAACAAAAAAAAGGCAGTGCGGTGTGCCTCGCGTTTTCAAACCTGAAAAACGTGTTCTGTCTGATTGGGCCCTTATTTTACATTTGATTGCTTTATTCGGTTTCTGTATCTAGAAACTACTGCGAGATACCTGAAAAGCACTTTTTTTGGGGGGCGGGTGTTTTCCTTAAACATAGCACATGCTGAACTGTACCAAAACCGGGACCCTAAAACCGTGATAAAAACCGAACCATGACTAATTTGAACAGTTACACACCTAGCGCTTACCCACTCTCAAAGGACTGTTGGGTGAGTCTTTTTGAAAGTCTGCCGATTGCACTACAATCACTTAATTTGTGGTCTGACATGTTTAACAGGTAGAGTCTTCGTAGCTTCTGTTAAATCAGGAATTCTTTTGCTCAACTTTCCTATTTTCTTTGGGTGACTGTTCTCTCCTCTCTGACACTTTAAAAGGCTCAACTTAAAAATAAATAAAATAAAAACACTAGAGAACATTTTTTTTTGCCTAAAATACCTCCTACTTTTACTAACTTTGTATCCACAAAGTCAGCCTGTGGAAGCATGCCAAATATCTGAGAGCTGAAATGAGATTATACCTAGAGTAGAGCAGCACCTATAGTCTTGAGAAATGAGGTCATGTAAGAGACTTACCAACGGTGTCCCTGTCCCTTGAGTCTCCACCTGGCCAGGGTGGCTGGATCTGGCTCAGTCTTTAAATCCATCTGTCCCTGACTCTTCCTGTGCCTCTGCGTTTAGAGTCTGAAATACCAGGCCTTGGGCTGCATGGTGTGCAAATGGGTGCTGTTCTCAAATGAGTGTGTGTGTTTTTGTGGACCAGCGGCACTCTTGCAGTCGATGCACCACTTGCCGACCCCCTTTGGTATGCGTCAGAGCGAGCAACAGCAGCCCAGGGCCACACTGATTGATCTGACTAATCAATTGTGGACTCTGTCCACTAGAGGACAATGCCAATGTTTAAGGGGACCAACGGAAGGCACTTTATGCCATACCCTTTACGTCCACTTTATTTCTCCACACGCTAGAGAAATAAGTCTACCATTCCTTTGCTTCTTTAAGTTGATGGGAACCGCCACCCTATCTGTTTAATGTCCATGCAACTCATTAGATGCAACTTTGCTGTTATAGGTTTGTCCCTCCCCTTTGCGACCAGGTCCCTATTTGGATCAATCTGGTGCGTGTGTTTGTGTATGTGCTTGCATTTTAGGAGTGTGTGTTCCACTTGAGGGTGAGTGGAATGGCACTGTGTACAGAATAAATATTGATACAAACGAAGCATGAGGCCGATTGATTTACCAGGGTGATGTCCGCAGAGAAAGCGAGGGCTTCAGTTCAGCATTCGGCGCTCGAGGAAGAGCAGGAACAGCAGACTGAATCATCAGACAAAAGCGGCGTCGAACACACACACACCCGTAGCTTTGTGCTAAAGTGGATGCGACGGCCAGGTGTGCTGGGACCTCTTAGAAAGAGGTGTAGGGCTATGAGCCTGATGCTGTGAGGAAGAGGAGAACGGAGGAACAGTCTCGGCAGGGCCCATGTGTGACCGAAAAAGCTCCAGAAGGCATGGTGGGAAGCGGGAATCTCGTTCTTCAGGAGAATCTCGTTCTTCTGGAGGATCGGTGGAGGGAGGAGGGGGTGGTGGTGGTGGTGGAGGAGGAGTGGAGGGTCCCACGCTCCTAGTGGACGGTAAGGGCACGGCTAACTTTGTGTGGGAATCGGTTATTTCCCTCTACGTAGTCATAGCACCCGTTTGTCAGGGAAGCCAGCACAAAGGCAAGGATCATATCCTGAGCCATTTATGAAATTGCAGCTGGGCTATTTTTATGTGCGGTTGATGTAATTCTTGGATTTTTCTTTCAGGTTGAGGCCTGACCTTTGTTTTGAGTCCGTTTCAAGCACCTATAGTTGTTTTATTGAGTGTTGGATCAACATCGAGTATAGGTGAACTTTGGACGCTGTCCTCTCCCCGGCCTCTCTATCTTCTACTGTAGTTCCTCTACAGATTATCTAAATGAAGTTGAAATATGACCCTGGAGCGTGTGCGGTCCCAACAACCACTGTGTTTGTGAGAAAGAAAACTCCTGAATCTCTCTCAGAGATAATAAGGCAGGGGAATTGACGGGAAGTTGTGGGGTGAGGCTCTCTCTCTCTCTCTCTCTCTCTCTCGATGGTTCTGCCTAGGGCATGTGGATCGAAGATAATGGCGGTAACCTCGCCAAACACCGTCTGACTCTTTCACCACTGAGAGATCGTTTAATGCCCCTACTTTGGATTTAAAAGCATTGAAAAGCTTCATGAGGGTGTGTCGTACGGTAGGGTCCTCAATGGCAGGCGTGCAGTTGCAACAGTTGGATCTTCTCAGTGGCAGTAACAGCTTGCATTTCCCAAGAGAAAGCGCTGGTGGTGTGGAATGAGGAAGAGCCTATAATCTTAACGTTCCCACACAGCCCCATAAGAAGAGAGAAACGTGCATTAGTGTAACTTCATTGGTGCACTTATCAGATGTCTGACTTGATTCTTTCTCGCTGTTTCTGAAGCAGAAATTATGGTTCTGTGATTAGTTTTTTTACATGCATGAAGCGAGAAAGAGTCTGTAGATATTGATTCTGGTCTGAGCTCTTGTTCTGTCATGATGGGCTCAGGAAGTATTAGATAACATGAGCTCAGTCGATGTGGTTTTAACAACAGTGGAAATTAGAACAGGCCTTACCACAAACAGGCAATGAAAGTGATTTCCACAGGCTCTGAACACACAACAAACATGATGAAAAACAGAAGTGGCCAATACGGGGACCAAAGTTCAGAAAGCCAATTTCCTTATAATGGAGATGGTAGTGTTGCTTTGCTCTGAAAGTTAAACCAATCTGGACAACTCGCCAGCATTTGTGTCTGCACGACGTCTCTGTAAAGCTCCAGATATGCGAAATTCCACTGATTTTATACCTTTAATCAACATTAAAACATAATGAAAAGCGTGCTGGAATGCCTATTGCGGAGTAAAAATGTAAACATTGTGGTATATTTGATAATCTGCTTATGTGTAAAGTACGCATCACTTTTGAGAATAATGGGAATCATTTTAGTTTTCCACAGTGAAATGTGACATGTTTTCACAAGATTCGCTTTGTGTACATGCAGTGTGACGTGTTGCATAAGTACTACTTCTCAGCAGTCTTCACAGACAGCACAGCTGGCTCAAATGCTGCAAGTTACTGTCATAAATAAGGGTAGACCAGTAACTCAGGACTTTAATGTGCTTTAGAGGCTGTAAAAGGGTAATGTTGGCAGCCATACTGCTCTGGTCACCTCTACTGTTTTTACATGTCCTACTTGTGTTGACATTTTAACAAATTCAAAATGCAATGCCCCCTTTAGACATTTGCTTAGGACATAAGCATGTCCCTGAGTGGAACATGGTACATGTTGAACTGTTGTGCACATAATCTCACACCATTATTTCCCCCTTTCTCCTTGTACAGTTAAGGAGTTTCTCGCTAAAGCCAAAGAAGATTTCCTAAAGAAATGGGAGAACCCAGCACAGGTCAGTTAATCCCTTTTTCTGCACTGCACACACTCACTTTGTCAGCCAGTGAGCGAATGTGAGAAGGCGTGCGCCTCCTTCTGGACACAAGGTGCACTGACCAGCTGTTCGTTTGTCCTTTTAAGTCTTTAGTTCACAAGTCGTGTGCTGTATTTCATTACATTTCTGAAAGTCCTACTTTGAAATGTAGATCTTATTGTTAGTGAACATTCAAATGATATAACAAGTCATAAATAATCAGTATGTGTTTGACCACACAAGAACATTCAGTGTTAAAGGGATACTCCACTTTTATGGGAAATAGGCTCATTTTTATCGCTCCCTCAGAGTTAAAAAGTTGTGTTTTACCGTTTTCGAATGTATTCAGCCAATTTTTTTATATTTAGAAGAATATCAGTAACCAGACAGTTTCTGGTCTTATTGACTTCCATAGTATATTTTTTTCCAACTATGGAAGTCAATGAGACCAGAAACTTTCAGTTTACTGCTATTCTTCTAAATATCAGGAAATCGGCTGAATGGATTTGAAAACGGTAAAACTCAACTGTTTAACTCTGGGGGAGTGTTAAAATGAGCCTATTTCCAAAAAAAAGTGGAGTATCCCTTTAAATGTGTCTTTGTACAAACAAAGTGTATTTACCTAAATTACCATCTTCTTTATTTCTTTCAATGAACAGAACACTGCATCTCTGGACCATTTTGAGAGGTTGAAGACTCTGGGCACTGGCTCGTTTGGGCGAGTCATGCTAGTCAAGCACAAAGAATCAGGCCAGCATTTTGCCATGAAGATCCTTGACAAACAGAAGGTAAGGCACTCTAACCGAAATCATCACTAAAAGGTGTATGTGTGTGTTTACAGGTTTGGCTATACTTGCCAAATGTCCTCACTTATGTAGTGAAACATTATGACTAGTGTTACAAGTAACGCGAGTAACGTAATCGGATTACTTTTTCAAGTAAGTAGTAAAGTAACACATTACATTTAAATTTACAACAAAATAGTTACTTTTTCAAATAAGTAACACAAGTTACTTTGTTTTCCCATTTATTGAATGACAGCTCCTCTGTTGAGAGAAATTGGGAGTCAGTTATTTTGCGCCGTGTGAACATGATGGTTATTGTAGTTCTAGACTAAATGTGAGCAGGCATTTACTAATCACTTTGCACTTTTACATTTGCCTAAAATATAACTATACATTTTTTGTTGTCTGATGAACTTAAAAAAGCAAGCAAGCCCATCCCAGGTGGGAAAAATTAGCGCTAAAGTAACGTAATGCATTACTTTCCATAAAAGTAACATAATTAGTTACTTTTTGTAGGGAGTAAAGGCATATTGTGTCACATTACATTTAAAAGTAACTTTCCCCAACACTGATTATGACAACTGACAGTTTGTAGGTCCTCACTAGTTAAAAAGGCTTATATAATAGGCCAAAACATGTTTGTATTTACTATTTATTTCTAGTGTTCTGCACAGGTTTCAGTGATGGGTATGTTTATAGGTTAGGGGTTGCTTTTAGGCCATATATCAACATGATATGAAATCAATGGAAGTCTATGGAATGGCCTTACTAATATAGTGAAGTGTGTGTGTGTTTGAGCTAATTTTCTTGTGTCTTTCAGGTGGTTAAACTGAAACAGATAGAACACACACTGAATGAGAAACGCATCCTGCAGGCTGTCAGCTTCCCATTCCTGGTGCGATTGGAGCACTCGTTCAAGGTATTTGCTGTCTGTGTGTGTGTGTGAGGACGGTTAGGATTTGGAGAATCGTGGGATAGTCAGTTAAAAGTTTTAAATAATTACATTTCTAATACATCTCAATTTATCTAAGAATCCTGAAAAAAAAATCTACGTTTTCACAAAAATAAGCAGCACAACTGTTTTCAACATTAAAGAGTAACTAAACCCCTGAAACAACTTTTTTTTAGCTAATGATCTGGAAGACTGAGGCTTTATTAATGCTGTTCATTGATTCAAGTAATTTTTTTTAAAAAAAATTGGGTTTAAGGTGTTTTAATTCTACAATATACAGGTGAAACTTGAAAAATATATTATATAGACTCATTACATGCAAAGTGAGATATTTCAAGCCTTTATTTGTGATAATTGGGATGCTAATGGCTATGAAAACCTTTTGCACAATAATCTAATTTTTCGAGTTTCACCTGTATGGTGTAAAAATGTAAAAATAATCAGAAATATTACTGGAGCGTCAAATCAGCATATTAGAAAGATTCCTGAAGGAGCATGTGACACTGAAAACTGGTGTAATCATGCTGAAAATCCAGCTTTGGATCATAAATGATTTACATTTTACAATATATTAAAATAGAAAAGGATATTTCACAATATTACATGAGCAGAAGAGACTTGAACAACAATCAAAAATCTTTGTGTGTGTTTCTAAATGTTTTTGTACTTTTTCTTATGTGTTTTATCCATTT